TTCCTTCCTTCCTTCCTTCCTTCCTTCCTTCCTTCCTTCCTTCCTTCCTTCCTTTTAAAACATTTCTTTCTTACATCTAAGAAAATATATTAGGTATAAAGATACAAGGTATAAGATCCTGTCCTATCCACATGACTAATTTTGGCCTGGGGTTTTCCAGGCTGGTAATCCATTCCATCCCCTTGCAACAACTCACTGGGATGGGAGGAACAGAACATGGTGGCCACGTGGCACACAGCACCACTGTGGCACACAGCAGCTTTGGTGGCGGCAGGTAGACCCAGAATGCTCCAAATTCACTTGCAGCTGGGAGAAAGTATCAATGCCATGGAAGAGAGCACTGCTTCAGCAGGTCCTTGGAAAGGCAGAGCACATGCCAAAATCCAGCATGTTGAGTAATTAATAACAGCTTTGCTCTCAGGTGAGTGATGGCAAACAACAGCACCTGTGGACTCCAAATAATCAGTGACCAAGCCATCATCTGGAAAGGAGACATTTCAGGGCATGCTTTGACATTTCCAGGCAGCACTGGGGTCCCAGGATCTCAAGAAGGCCCCATGGAAGCACCTGCAGCAGGTGGGACCCCACAGAGGATGGGGCCCACCCAGCAGTACTCACCCAGAGCCAGAGGGAGGGATGGTCTGGGGGCTGAGAGCACCAGGAACACTGTGGGACATGGGAGTCACAGCTCTTTGTGCTGGTCCTTGCTAAGCAAGGGTTAAACTCTCAGCCAGGGGAGCACGAGGAAAAGCCACCCTTTACCCACGTGGGCTGACCTTAAGGAACTTGGTTGAGCAACCACATCAAAACCTCCTGGGAATGTCAAAGATGCTCTTGTCTGGAGAGGCCCTGGGGTGGGGCCAGCTCTTGCACAGGACAGCTCTGCCTGGTCCCCAGCTCTTGGCATGTCACCATGGGGTGACACCACGGGGACCAGATCTGCTGTGTGCAGCCCTGCATGTGCCACCACAGACCCTCTGCAGGGAGCAGAGCTTGGGACCCTGGTTCAAACCAGTGGGACACAGCCAAATGTCCCCAAACCTGTCAGGGCTGCCTCCCCTTGATGGAAATAAGGGAAATAGGGCGGGTCAGAGTGGGGATAGTGCAGGAATCATTTATTCATGCCTCTCATGACTATCCCAGTGTGGGGATAGTCAACATCTGAGCTGTTGTCCCTGCTGTGAGGGGTGAGTTTGGTTTGAGCACTGGATGAGCAGTTTCTGTGGCAGGGACTGTAGGAACATGCCTACAATCCAGGGGCAATCTCTAACAGCTTCAGTGCTACAGGGATGCTGGGGGGGGGGGGGGGGAAGCCTCAAACTGGTGCAGGGACATTCTTTGGCCTGGAACGTTTATTAAAAATCTCTTTTCTTGCTGTATTTGCGGGGTGCCACCTCGAATGCTGGGTACAGTTTTGGACCCTCATGAAAAGAAAGAAACCTCAAGTGCTGGAGCATGTCCAGAGAAGGGAATGGAGCTGAGGAATGGTCTGGAGCACCAGGAGCAGCTGAGGGAGCTAGGAAGGGGCTCAGCCTGGAGAAAAGGAGGCTCAGGGGGGACCTTCTGGCTCTGTACAACTCCCTGACAGGAGGGGACAGCCAGGGTAGGTTGGGCTCTGCTCCCAGGGAACAGGGACAGGACAAGAAGAAAGGACAAGTTGCACTGGGGGCAGTTTTAGATTGGATATTAGGAAAGATTTCTTCACCAAAAGATTGGCCAGGCCCTGGCACAGGCTGCCCAGGGCAGTGGTGGAATCACCATCTCTGCAGGATGTGACTTGGGACATGGTTCAGTGGTGACCATGGCAGTGCTGAGATAATGGTTGGACTCGATGATATTAGAGGTTTTTCCAACCTGAACAATCCTCTGATTCTTTGAAAAAAAAAAATCTTCAAGCAGAAATTACATGCAAGATTTGGGGGATGAATTTTTCGCTGATATGAAGAGTTAT